AAAAGCATGTAAGGGCTATGCAGAGTTTTTGAATCCCTGGTCTTTTTACAATGTTACGGATTCCTCTCATGTGTTGGTGGGCTTGTGAATGAAGTGGGCTGGAGTCCTTACACTTTAAAGTGATGCTTCCTGAGCAAGGTCTTCGCAGTAGGTTGATTTTGTAAGCTGTTTATTAACTGTGTAACAGCTATCATATGGCACGCGCAAGCTCGTAACCCTTTTCATAGCGTCTTTAAAATTGGTTGATGATTAGTGCCGGAAGATGACAAGATAGTTGGTTCCTAGAGATAATTGAACACTGAGGAGGCAGAGGGACCTGGGAGTAAGACTCCCGTCCCGTCTGGAGGCTGATTCGTGAAACGTCCTGGAGTTGGAGCTGCACACTGCTCTAGCCATGTGCATTTCTGATGCGGCTGCCTTCCTGTCACATGTCATGTAGACACGTCCCAAACATGAGGCACATTGAAACTGTAACAAGGAGGCAGTCTGCGGAGCCCAGAAGCAGAGCAGCCGCCATGCTCTGCTTCGTGACATGTGAAAGGCTGTTTACTAAGAGACTATAACCGTTTGAAAGGCTTCAGGCTGAGGAGTTTATGCATGACACAGCTTGCTGAACCCCGTGTGGCCGAGGTGGTGAGGCCATTGACGGCATGGCATGCCAGAAATTGGACAGGGAAGAAAGGCGAGCGGGCCCTGAGACCTGTGTCCCCGGTATGGTGCTTTATCTGCTCTCATTCTCCGCTCAGACAGGCCATTTGTTCTCAGCAACCCCCCATGTTTCCTGTTCCGTAAATACTTTCCACACTTCAGGTCATGGGCTTGACTTAGGGTTCCTTAGGAAAAAGGAGATTTGCCTTTTCTTTCCCCACTCACCAAACATTCAGCTTTTTGTGGCCTCATTCTTTGTCATCTTAGGGATGGAGGGACTTCAGATCAGTAACAAGGACTCTGTGTGAGTTGTCCAGGCTTTTTGCTGGGACGCAGCGTTTTTGTGGGTGTGTGCTTGTGTAGAGACGCACACACCCTGAGAGTATTTCTAAGAGTATATCTAAGAGTAACTCAGTATTGACTTCAGAACAGTTTTCCAAGATAAGACGGTGTACTCAGCCTTTGTAAACTCATCTGCATTTCAGGAATGTTGGTTTAAAGACCTTGTAGGATAAAATTATCCTGGTGTACAAATGTAGCCTAGATTTTTTAATTTACCATAGTAGCATCAGTTATTTGGGTAGATTAACAACCCCTTCCCTTCCCCCCGTTGATTCTGGGGTGAGTGGTGAGGATGGTGTGGCATGTCTCAAAGTCTTAGACCAGGTGACGCAGAGAAGCAATTTTCTCAGGTCTGACACTTAGAGTTACAATTTCTTCAAAGCCAGGCATGTATCTCTGGCTGAAAATGACAATTTAGAGGCCCTTCCATTGAAGTCTCTCAGCTCGGCATCTTTCCGTTCTCCCATTTCAGATTAAGTGGGTCTACGGCCGTTTCCGACCTGCAGGTATCAGTGGCAGGCCTTACTATCTGCAGCGTTGCTTTAGATTTCAAACAAACAAAAAAAAATTTAATCCTTTTAATTTTCAAATATGTATTTTGGATAAAGGGGGAGATGTTATTAAGGGAGATGGTAGAGAGATTCCACTTCAAAAGGTAGGAAATCATGGGTGTAGACATTTTAGTCCATTTGCAGAAAATTGCCTATTCTCAGATAGCTAGGTCAAGTGCAGAAAGAACGTCTACTTGAGATAAAATTTCCTCTCCCCACTTGGCTTTCTCTCTGTTAGGGTAGACAGCCAAGAGCTGCCCAAATTTTAACATCTTGCTGTCTTTTCACCAGTGCTTCCTGGCTATGTGTTTTAAGCTGTATTTGCTTATAAATGGAACATACACTTCATAACAGCTTTTACATTCAGAGCCAGAAGAGCTTTAGGGCAATAAAAAGGGCAACTCTTCATTTCATAGATGAAGAAGATTAGATGGTTCAGTGACTAGCCCAAGGTAAGACAACCCATAACGTCAGGCCGAGGCAGGTGTGCAGCCGCGTCTCCGGACTCCCCTTGACAGGAGTGGAGCAAGTCGGGGAGGCGGGAACAGTTGATTTGCTCTCCTGCTTTGGAGCATTTGTTTCATTCAGGTACCTCCTGGAATGCTAGGGCTTAAGAGTCCAACCTTACTTTATTTAGCAAAAGGAAATGGCCTTGTCCTGAAGCTGTGTAAGCTAAAGAGCAAAAGCTGGGGACATTTATCCTTTCCTCATTGACTGATTTCTTGTTTAAAAAAAAAAAGGGGAGGGGGTCAAACTTTCGTGAGCATCTTCGAGAACTTTTCCATCAGCCCAGCCTAGGGGGATCATCGCCAGCACCTGATAGAATAAAAGCAGGCTATGGAGATGTGAGGGACTCATTTCCATTTGGACCCTGACTTCCTGTTCTCGAGTCCCTCCCCCGCAAGGGTGCTGAGCCACACACTGTGTTTGGGGGCGCCGAGTCACCCCCGCCATCAGCGTTTCACAAACACGGGGACCCATGACAGACTTCCGGAATAGAGCCAAGCCCGCAGCTCTCTTCCTAGTTATTCCTCAACTTGCATCTGCCAGACCAGCAAGAGGTCTGGGCTCCCACTGTCCCCGCTCCCCTAGCCTATCCTGAAGCGATACGGCATGTTCCTTGTGGTAGACCGCGCCTATGGTTAGACCTGGGACAGCACGTTAGCTCAGAAGTCATTGTGAGGGCATTTATAACCTCTCATTCGGGGTTAGGTGGGTTGGGGGCTGGAGTACAAGGTGAGGGATCCCAAAAGAACCCCTCAGGGCATTTGTATTGATGTCCGGGCACTCCTGACAGAGCAGGGTGCTGTGTGACTGGAGCCGGGTTTTCTGTACATCAGGGCCTGGATCCCCCTCTGCAGAGATGATGGGGCAGGTGACAGGTGCGGCCACGGGACCAGCAAGGACTAGACTGACTGGCACTGAGATCGCTGTGTGTGTCAGGCTCTGCGGGCTTCAGGACATTTGCACACCTGCTCCGTTTTATTCTACTGACATCGAGATTTGTCTTTCGGAGGCATCTCAGTATCTGAAATGATTCAGCTCTTTAAAAAAAGAAGCAAAACCCCGAAACTTTAACCGAGGAAGATAGCTGTAGGTAGAGTTTTCAGATGAGCAAGCCGGGGGTCTGCTCAGGGAATGCTGTCTGACTCGAGGCAGCAAAGCCCCACACCGTTGCCCGGAGCCACTCTGTTGGGGACAGGGGATCCTGCAGTCTGGGCCCTCACCCTGTCGTTCTGCTGCAGCACATGCCCTTCAGGACGATCCCAGTGACCTTGGACAACCCCCAAAAGCTGTTCCATGAGGCCCATTGGTTTCTCGGTTGAGAGCCAGAGAAATGAATAAAATGTACAATTCTGTGCAAGTGCTAGGCTCTTTTCCAAGGGGCGATATAAGCTTTTTGAAAACCTGCACGGTGTTCCTGGCAGTTACAGGACCAAGTGGTATCTCTACTTTGGGAGCACCTAATTTGATCTTTTTTAGAAGCCCCTAGTAGTTATTTTGTAGACTGGGACTTTCCCCCCCATTTCTCCATTTGGCCCAGCCTCTGGTAGCTCTGCATGCTTTTGAGTCACCTTTGGGTGAATCTGTACACACTGAAGCCAGCTCTCGACTGTGTCTTAGCCTGAACTTTCCCTTGACCTTCACGCGCTGGCTGACTCTGAGTAGCAGCTCTGGCGGCTGCTGTCTTTACATTGGTGCCACCATTTTGTTCCTGTTCCAATGGAGTCTGGGCCTGGTAGAGATTGTATCGACCCTTCCAGGAGCAGCCAGGCTCCTTGACATGTTTCCCAAGCACGAAACTCTCCCTGCACCATTGGGATTGGTCACACTCCGGGGGGCTGACCGTTTCTCCCTCTACATTAAGGAAGCCGCAGAGCCAGCTTGAAGCGGGTGGGAGTAGTTCTCGGAATGGGTGGACTGGTTGGTAATTGCCTTTCTAGATGGTTATCTGGGTCATACATTCCTGCTAAAACGTGAAGAATACCCATAGTCCTGTGCATTCTGTTGTACCCCATATTGTGTGTTTGTGTAAATATGTGTATTTTTTAAGTGAAAAAGAAAAATACCCCTGCCTTTGTCCGCAATTCTTTTAACAAACTGTTTATTGTTGTATCCAGGTAACAAGCATGGTAAGTATTTTCACCACATCGAGTATTCTGTATTTTAGCTGTGCTTGGCAGACTTTTTGGCTAGCTTTGTGTTACCAGCCTTGGCTTTTCTGGAAAAGACCCATTCAGGAAGGGAGAAGCCAGTCTCCCGGTAGCGTGCCCTGTGTCCTCGGCTCTGGAGAGAACCCGTGTAGCCTTAGACCCATGGTGGGTGGGGGTACCTGAGAAAGCATGCATCCCCCCCCCCCCGCCAGCATGCTGCTTGGTCCTGTCACGGCCCCCCACCCGACCTGCCGCTTCTGAGCCTCCCCACCAGGTGTCTACCAGGGCTCCCAGGCCTCGCATGCCTCCAGCAGCTCCTGGGAGTGTGGCCCCATGACAGCGTTCAAGGTGGGGCCTGCCCCCCCCCTGTGGACGGTCCTACCCCAGATCCATCACCACCCCCCCCCGTCTCCCTCTTCCCCTCTGTATGCTTCAATGCAGAGCCCCCCCCCAACCCCCCCTTCCCTTGAGTGTGTTAAGTAATTGGAGAAATCTCCCTTTGGAAGCTGGAAAAATAAATACGTTGACCACTCTTCTCAGAGGCTTCCCATTCTGTTGAAAAAATGGACTAAAACATTTTTTTAAAAAAAAACCTTGCCGCTGGGTAGTCTCCTTACAGGTTCAGAGTTCCGGTAGGTTGAGTGTGTTTTAGCCTTCTGGCTGTGTTTATTTATCCGTGCATGTTTGCTTCTCCGGCCTCTTCTGTGGCTCTGTATTTAGTCCATGTGCTCGTGGCTGTGCCTGTTGAAGCTGCCCAGTAGCCACGTGTTACGTATTAAGTCTGTGTGTCACTGTCACCTTCAAGGATCAGACGGCCAAGGATAAGGCCCTGCAGCACATGGCCGCCATGTCCTCGGCACAGATCGTCTCGGCCACCGCCATTCACAATAAGCTGGGGCTGCCTGGGATTCCACGCCCTGCCTTCCCGGGGGCACCGGGGGTAAGTCACAATCTTACCCACCCAGCCGGGAGGCGCGGTTAGTGGGGGTGAGCGCTGGGCGGGAAGCCATCCTCCTGGCGCTTATTCTTGGGCCTGGTGTGAGGGAGGGGAGGACCACCTGTGGTCAGCTGATGCTGCCCCTTGCACTGTGGGGAGAGGAAGGGAGGGAGCTGGAGAGAGAAAGGGGGAGGGAGGGGGTGGGGAGGTCAAGCTGGAGGTGGGGATCCTGGGTCCCCGCAGACATGGAATTGGGTATCACTTTGTTGGTGCCCTTCTGGGTTGTCACCTGCTCTGCCTTTTTTTTTTTTTTTTTTTTTTTTTTAATGGCCCTTACTGTCTTTTCCTGTGTCCTCAGGGTCCCTTTAAGGGAACTAACCCCTAAAGGGGCAAAGTACTGTATTGCGGTTTTCAGTTTGCACCTAGCAAGGGCTGAGAAGTTAATGTTATGATCTCATTCATCTTCGCAATAATCTTAAACGCCTCTCATTGTTCTTGCCGTCTTGCAGATAATGAGATTAGTGAGTAACAAAGCGAGTTAGGTGATGTGATCTTGGCTGGTGCCATCAAGACTCAAAGGGGTGGGGGGCGCCTGTGACTCCCTTTGCAACTCCTTGTACACAGGCTGCTGGTCCAGCAGGGGGCAGCAGGCACCCGAAGCCTCCAGGAGGCGCACAGTGAAGGCGGTGTCCGCATTGCTTCTCGGAGCTCTTGGCCTCTGGTTCAGAGCTTGTCCTCTGCCGGCCAGGCCCTTGGTGTGAGCTGTGGAGGCAGAATTGTCACACAAGGAGCATTTGCAAATGGAGGGAAGAAGAGAAGGATGGGTGGGTGGGTGCATGTGTAGAAAGCAGTCGGATGAAATAGTTGTGAGCCCCTGTCATGGGCCCAGATCTCTGCTAGCTGTCAGGCGAACAGGGGAGAGCTGCTGTCTGGTCCCTGCCCTCAGGGCAACTAGTCTGGAGGAGGAGCGCCAGGGCAGCCAGGACTGCTAGGCCACGGATGCAGGGTACTCTCCTGTGCACGTCGATGACCACATCTGAGTCTAGAGAGGGTCACTCTGCGGCGGACAGACGATCTGAGCCCGCTGTCGTTAGCAGGGGGTGCGATCTGTAGACGCCCCAAGCAGTGCTTTCCTGGGAACTCATAATCCTGATGCCTCTTGCCTTTGCCTTCCAGTTCTGGCCAGGAATGATCCAAACAGGGCAGCCAGGATCCTCACAAGAGTAAGTCCAGGGAGGGGCTGGCAGGGACAACAAGCGTTTGGTCACAGCGCAGCCTGGGGGTGCATTTCCCCAGGGCCAGACCACCTGGGGGCTTACAGGAGAAAAGACATTAAATCTGAGAACCCCACAGTCCTCTCCCATTATCCGCTGAGGCCAGGAGCAGGAGAGAGACTTGGGTTGCTCTAGGAGAGGCATAAGTGGCTCGCTGGTGCCCTAAGCATTAGTGCCCGTCCCTCTGGAAACAGGGATGGGGGCCCTGGGCCTTTGTGGCTTTGGAGGGCAGAACCTGGGGCTTCCTGAAAAGTGCCTGTCTGAGAGTAGACAGTGCAGGCACTCCTGGGACCCAGCCCATCTGGCCTTCCGGGGGATGAGGGCAGCTAACAGACAACCTGCTGCTGCCTTGAGGGCAAGGGAAACAGGCCTCATAAACTGGAGGCTGAAGGTCATCTAGAGATAAAAGCAGAAAGGAAGTCCTGCCTATCTGTTCTCGAAAGAATTTCAGCTGGGAGCCTGAGCATGGCCCAAACCTTGCCTGGGCATGGTGAGCCCTGATCTTGGTCGCTGCAGGGATGAGATGAGAGGTTCAATTAGATGTCACAGCATATGGGAATCAGGCTGATGTGGGGGGGGGTGGATACGGGGTGCAGGTTGGTTCCCTAGCCTTGGCCAAGGCCAAACCTGGGGAGAAGCCACTGCTATAGTCTCTCGACTTCTGACTCTCCACCCTCCACCCCCAGCGTCAAGCCCTTCGTGCAACAGGCCTACCCCATCCAGCCAGCAGTCACAGCCCCCATTCCAGGTGAGTCTCCAAGGGACTCCGCCTCAGAGGACTGTCCTGGGAAGCTGGCAGCTGGGCCCATCACTTCACTCCACAGAGGCCTGTCCCTGGTTCCAGCAGTGCCTTGGGCACCCTCTCCTCGCCCCTACCCTCCTTATGCCTGGGACTCGGAATGGTCACAGACATGTTCAGTGCCCACAGTCACTTCCCAGGATTTTATTCAGATGGGTTTTTAAAGAAAACAGAAGCCAGCGGCGCCCACCTGGCTCAGTCTGTAGCGCAGGCCACTCTGGATCTTGGGGTCGTGAGTTCAAGTCCCATACTGGGCGTAGAGTTTACTTAAAAAGGAAAAATAGGTTTACTTAAAAAGGAGGAAAAAAAAGATGTGGATATCTCAATTATATCTCAATTTTAAAAAAAGGAAAGGAAGAAAAGGGAAGCCCGATCACTTTCACTGAGGACCCTGGGTCACCCTTGGAAGGGGAAGTTGCTGTGGTTCCTTCCTCATCATGAACAGGCTGAATTGGAGAATTCAGATCTCGAGGGCAGAGAGGGGATTAGTCTATGAGTAGGTTTCAGTTCCCTGTTCCCTTTCTTTAAGGAAGAGCTTCCAGAGAAGCCTCAACTAGCAACCGGAATCTGGCCGGCCCACCTGCTCCCAAGGCACCTGTGTGCACGTGGGGTCAGTCCGTTCAGCTGCTGCCTGTTACCGAGTCCCCCGATGGGACGTGGGTTCACGTGTTGCACTCTGTCTCAGTGCCACGGGGCATCCTGAGGGAGTAATTCTGTAGTGCTGGTTACCGCAGTCTGAAGGAAGGAGGTGGGCAGTCCCCAGAAGTTTCTTGGGATCCTTGCAGGATTCGCTCTAGGCTCTTCAGCCCGTGCGCAGCCGGTCCCCTTGTCCGGGGTGGGGTGTGCTCCAGCCCTTAACCTGGACCCACGTTGACGTGAGGCGCCACCTAGCGTTGTGCCTCTGGGGTCCTTGGCCAGAATCCCCCCAACCGCCTGACTTCCTTCTGCCCCTAGACTCTGGTGTGGGGTGGGGGGGTGGGGGAGAGCTGTTTTGCAGGACCTGGCCCCAGCCCTGGCCTCGGGCCCGAGGGAAGGCACACGGGGCCTGCCTTAAAGGTACTGATTGGTCTTCCAGGGTTCGAGCCTGCATCAGCCGCAGCTCCCTCGGTCCCTGCCTGGCAGGGCCGCTCCATTGGCACAACCAAACTTCGCCTGGTGGAATTCTCAGCCTTCCTCGAACAGCAGCGAGACCCGGACTCGGTGAGTGTGCTGCGAGGTGTGCCTTGAATCCCATTCTTGTTCCCCTTCACACCCTTGTGCCTTCCTTCTCCTTTCCCTCTCCCCTATGCCTAAACAGCCTGGGTCAGAAGAGCCAGACTTTCACATACATAAAAAGGTATTTCTGTGGACAAGTAGGTAGAATTGTGGAGCCGAATATTTATGAGCGCTTTGGACCCCAGACTCCAGGGAATGCTGGAGCTTGAAGGGAAAGACTTGAATAGGCTCTTCTTTTGTTTAGGAAAATGGAACAGCAGGTGACAGCTCTTGAACCCTGACATGTGGCTGGCACCATGCCAAGCTATTTCTGTAAATGGCCACGTTTTACTCCCCCCAAAACTCTGTAAGGTTTGGTACTGTGGGACAGATGAGGAAACAGAGAGGTTAAAGAATTTCTCTGAAGTCACACAGTTACTATCTAGTAGATTGGCGATTCAAATTCACGTCTTTAAAACTCAAGCCTAAGCAGTTAGCTGTTACTCGGTACTGCGTTTGTAAGTCTGTCCTTTCTCAAGACAGCGAATGGTTCTCTTCTTACGGAGAAGTAACAAGCTGGTGTTCTAGTACGATACAGAAAGCAGTGCGTCACGATGCTAAGCACCAGTCACGTTGGCACCTGGACTCTGTCATTTTTCTTCTTTGCCGTCTTCCCTGCCCCGTCTAGTGCCCATCACACCACTGTCTCTCGGTCTGGCCCATTACTTCCCACCCGACAATCGCCAGACCCTTTCTTCACTCCCACTCCTTGGCGTCTGTGCGTCTGACTGTCGCGTCTGTGTGTGGGTGAGCCCGAGGCAAAAAGGCAGGAATCAGAAGTTTGTCTTCCGGATCCTCCCCAACTCCTTTCCACGCGCTCCTTCTCACCCCACCAGCCTGATCTCAGGGGCTCTCGACGCACAGAGGTCCCAGGCTCTCTGTGTGTTCCCTGCCCTGTGGTCATGCTGTCGTCAGAAGAAGGCGTCACGGATGAGTTCACTGTCTGTTGTAAAATACCCACATACTGAACAGGCGGAGGTGACCTCTCTGGGGTCTTTGTACTATATAGCTCCGCGGATGGCCTCTGACTCGGGGGATGCCACAAGCCATCACCAGAGTGGAGACTCCATGGACATTTCTGACGTTTCTGTTGATGAATTGTGAACGTCTGGGAGTTGGTAGAAAAATAGAGCCTGTTCTGAAATTCGGAGAAAAAAAATGAAGAAAGAGATGGAAAGTAGGTCATTAGGCCCACTGAGGCAGATTATTGGGGTAAGGGAGGGAAAGGCCAGCTGGATCTCTCTTCTCCTGTGGCCGAGTGGTTTTTTAAGAAGGGTGATGGTGATGGCATCAAATCCTTCTTGAGAGGTGCTGAGATAAAAACAAAAAAGATTACCCTCCTAATTCTTTGTTTCTTGTTCTTTCTGGAAAGCATAGGGGATACTTTGGCCGAAGACTGGATTTCAGCCCCACGATGGTTTTCACATTGCATAACTCGTGTTGGTAGGACACCTCGATGCTTACAGAGTACACGCTGGTTAACTATTTCATTCTGTCTTTCTAGTGCTCCATGAGTAGATTCACTTTCTCCTATTACACTGATAAAGAAACTGAGGCCCAGATGCATTAAACAGTTTAGGATGTTTAGTGAATAAGCAGAGGGATCAGGAGCCCAAATCTATTTCATTATACTCTTTTCACTACTACAAACCACCGCCAGTTTTGAAATTCTCTCTCTCTCCAGTCTAGGTATCTCCTGTGTGACCCAGTCTCTCTCTTTGCTTTTGACCGTTTTTTAAAGAACAGAGCTCCAAGGCACTGGAAAGGAAAAGTCCCAAGATGGTAGTTGTTTCTCTGGCTAAAAGATGATAGAATATTTTATCACCAAAAAAAAAAATTGATTGATTGATTGATTGATTAAAAAGCCTGTGGCAGCCCCCTCTTGTGCTGTCCTCTCCAGTTATGGACCTGTTAGGGCCAGGAATGCCCAGTTCCTTTTTCTGCTGTTGCATGTGTGCACTTTTCACATCTTCTCCTCTGGAACATGGGCTCCAGGAGAATGAGGGTTTAATTTTTTGGGCTTCACATTGAGAACGACTGGGTTCATTCAGCCCAATCCGTAAATGCTTAGGAACACATGCACCTGCGTGTATGGCACTGTTCCGGGGGGAGCCCAGCACGGCACTGAGGGCACTGTGTCTGCCCATGTGCGGTGTAATGTCTACCGGGAAGACACACACGAAGTCACTGTGAAGCATGGGGACGTCTGCAAAGGGAGTGCACTGAGCACTGTGAGTGATTAACAGGACAGGGTGGGCTTCTTTGAGGAAGTCGCCCTTCCCCTGGAAGGTGGGGGAAGAATAAGGGAGAAGAACATTCCGGAGGTGATGACTTAGTGTAGAAAGCAGTAAGAAAGTTGGTGAATAGTTTCGTAAGAACAGGGCCCCCCCAACCCTCTTGGAACAGAGGCCTGAGATCCTTCATGCTTCAGCCATGTTTAGGAGTCCGCATGATGATCAGACTGATTTGGCTGGATGTGGCCTTCTACTGATTAATGGAAAGGTTTGGCTCTCAAGATTGAACTTGAGTACCAGCCTTCAGAGGCCCGGAAGTAAATGCAAGACCTGCTGTGAATCAACACCTTTGGGCCTCTTGAGAACGTAATTATACTTCAGCAGGGGCAGGAGTTGGGGACTGAAAGAAATTGGAATTCATCTAAACAAATAATTTTAAACATTTCCTACAGGGCAGCCACTCTTCCAGGTGTTAGGGAGCTAAGCCTCATTCTCCCTGAGCCTGTGTTCCAGAGGACGTGAGAGGGGCACACGCATTACGTAAGGTGACGTTAAGTGCTTCTGTGGAGTAATGGCCCTTCTTCACCGTTTGAAAATCACTTGCTCTTTAGATTAAAAATATATAATCTCAGAAAGTAATAATACCTTCTAATATATATGTTGATGGTTTTTGGCTTGTATCATGATTTCATTTCATTTTTAAAAAATTTTATTTATTTGAGATAGAGCCCAAGCAGAGAGAAGGGGGAGAGGGAGAAGCAGGGAGCCAGATGTGGGACTCGATCCCAGGATCCTGGGATCATGACTTAGGTCTCATGATTTGATTTGATTTTTTAAAAAATTTATTTATTTATTTATTTGAGATTGAGAAACAGAGCACAAGCAGAGAGGAGGGGGAGTGGAAGAAGCAGGCTCCCCACTGAGCAAGGAGCCCAATGTGGGGGCTCGATCCCAGGACCCTGGGATCATGACCTGAGCTGAAGGCAGACACTTAACTGATGAGCCACCCAGTTAGGTCTATTAGACCATGCCAACCAGAGGTCTGTCACTGTTGTGACATTATATTGTTACATTATAATATGCATGTCATTTTTTATGTGGCTTCTCACATTCCTGTGTTATAAACACTTATTTGGCAGAATTACACAAATGAATTTAATGTGTGCAAATGAATACACGGGGGATTGTGAATAATGGCATAGGAATTTATTTCAGTAGAAATGTAAGGGCCTAAAGGATGGCTCTTGTGGAAGGAGGAAATGGGGAGAACCTTGGGAATAAAAGGTGATTACTCGAAAGGGGATTCATCGAAATTAATAATTCACAAAATTATTTAAAGCACAATGACAGGGTTCCAAGCACTAGCTTCTCTGATCCCACAATGGGCGCTTTGTTTTGCAAACACAGGTTGCCGTAAGAGTGAGTGTTTAATGACGCCTCAGGACCAAGGTCACACTGAAAAACTTGGAGCTTGTAGATAGATTCTTTAGGCTGTCAGACTTTGTATGGCTTCTCAGACTTTAATGCAACAGGAGAATTTAAAGCCATCTGAAGTACATTCCACTGATACCTTTTAACAAAGTTGGATGTACAGTATTGAAAATACAGCATCGGACCTTAAGCTTGTTAATTCGATAAGGAAGCCAGCAAAGTGACAAATAATTAAAGGTCCCCAAACAATTTTAACTTTGTGTTGTGCTTGTACACAAATCTTTGTGTACATACAGACACACACACATTTCCCCCTACCTCTTTCTAAGGGCTTGGACTCCTCAGAGTCAGTGAGGTCATGGGTCATGGTGACAAACTCCGAACAAACATATTAACGGGCTGGGTGCTGTGCCAGTTTTCATTAACGATCTCTTTTATCTTTATCACACTTCGGTGAGGTAGGTGATTTTTTCTTTTTGTGGTGATTTTCTTCTTATGGAAGAGGTCTGGAGCAATGGCTTGTCTAAGCTGTAAGCTAGTTCCAGGGCCCGGGCTCGAACACACACTTGTGTAGGACCTGGTTCTCCTAGTCCCTAGGCTAGGGTGGCCTTCTTGGTACCAGCCGTTCTGGAAAATCCCTCTTTAGTTTACGACGTGTGTGCCCACTGCCACCACAGAAGACTCGGCCCCGACTCCGCTGTCCCTGCCGGCGCTAACGCCAGTAGACCCGCCCGATAGCAGTGGCGACAGCCGGCAGCGTGCATCATTTTATTTCATCCCGGGACACAGCCTGCCCCCGGGGTTGCCAGTCAGCAGCCACTGAAAGCGGGATGGCGGCCCAGGTCTGCTGACTGCGCAGCCTGACAGGATGACCAGAAGGCTGCAGGATCCGCTCCTATCTGAGGAGCTTGGTTGGGAGTCTGCAAGGCGTGGAGAAGAGTCGTCTGGGGGATGAGCGCCCCCTGCTGGTTTCGCATCGTGTATCAACCGGGCGGCAGCGTTTTCCCCAAATCAGTGGTTGTTTATATTGGTGGAAAACCAGCAAATCGGTCCCTCTGTTACCTCTGGCTCCACTTGAAGCTAAGAGGAAAAACAGCAGAGGGTGAAGAAAGGAAGGAAGACTCTAAACAACAGAGACTATTTTGGAAGTGGTTAGTAATGCTTGAAAATACACTTTTCTACACGATTTCAGTGTTAAATATCCAAGGACTTCAAGTGTTGAGTGGACGATCCCCCACCCAGGGTGGGCCATTTAAAAGCACCTTGCCTGAAATCTGGCCA